AGATGTCTGGGGCATCCTTCCCCAGGGCCCCGCGGAGGCAAAGGCCACTCTAAGAGAGTGCAAAGAAGGCCCGCGGCTTTTTTTTTTTTTTTTTAAAGAAAATGAGCAATTTATAATAAAATATGAACAAGTGTCAGCAGACAGAGCCAACAGGGCCAGGGACTTCAGTTATTGGGATTACCAGACCACTAGACACAGAATATGCACACCTTCAAATACACCCTAGAAAGCACAAGCAAGAAAAAGAACTAGTATAAAAAACGAATACAGTCAGGTACAATGGCATCACCCGTAATCCTAGCGGCTTGGAAGGCCAAGGCAGGAGGATAGCAAGTTTAAGGCCAGCCTCAGCAATTTACTAAGGCCCTAAGTAACTTTATGTTGAGACCCTGTCTCAACATAAAAAATAAAAATGATGGGGGAACAAATAAATAAAATATAATAGTAAAATAAAAGGCACCCCTGGGTTCAATCCCTGGTACAAAAAAAAAAAATGAGTACATAATTTTGTGTGTGTGTGGGGGGGTGGAACCCAGGGCCTCATGAATCCCAGGCAAGTGCTGTACCACTGAGCTACACCCCAGTCCAGTAGTTTATTAAAAAGTAGAACTTCTAAAAAATGAAAACTTGATTAACTGGAACTGAAACCTCAATGGATTCATACCACTGAATTCCATGAAGACGGAATGAGCCAGAGCCAGGCAAGAGGGCATCTCAGACCACAGTGCAGGAACCCAACCTGCGGAAGGAGACAGCCGGGTGGCCGCACTGTTTAAAGAGCTGGGGGTGGAGGAAGTCCACGACAATTAATGACAGCGGCACAGGCTGAAGAAATCAGAGAGTCCAGCTTGAACAAGGAAGACGGAAGTTCCTTATCCAGAGTGTATCAAAACGGCCCACACAGCGGGTTCTTTGATTTGTCTGCTGAAATTTTATGTTTTACTATCACCAGTTTCAAAATGGTGCTATTCGCCTGTTCTTTCCTCTGCAGTTGAAGACTTTTTTCACTATTTAGAATTTCAGTCTCCTGTGAGTCTTTTTTCGTGAAGCGTGGAGTCTGCGAGGCACAGTGCCACTCGGCCCCGTCACTATTGCCCAGTGGTGTCCCACTGTGTAAAGCTTGGCAGCTTTTGGTTGTGATGCTACCTTCTCAAGATCTATGCAGATTGATAAGTGCAAGTCTGGCTTATCATCCCATTCCCCCCATGACAGACAGCATGAGTTCCTGTGTCTTCTGCCTACACCTGGAAGTGGGCTGCTGGGTCCTAGGGTGGAGCATGTAGAATGTGCCAGTTATGAAGCTGTGGTTTTCTTTTTCTTTTTTGGTACTGGGGATTGAACCCAGGGGTGCTTTTCCACTGAGCCACCACATCCCCAGCCTGTTTCCCTCTTTATGTTTTATTTTGAGGCAAGGTCTTAGCTAGCTAAGTTGCTTAGGACCTCACTAAGTTGCTGCGGCTGGCCTTGAACTCCCAAGCCTCCTGCCTCAGCCTCCTGAGCTACTGGAATTACAGATGTGACCACTGAGCCTGGCTCACCCTTCTAATTTTTTTTCAATAAATTTTTTTAGTTGTTGATGGGATTATTTTATTAATTTATTTATATGTGGTGCTGAGAATCGAACCCAGTGCCTCACATATGTGAGGCAAGCGCTCCACCACTGAGCCTCGACCCCAGCCCCTAATTTTATTAATACAACTTCATCCTTCTGTTACTAGCTTGGCTGCTTAAGTTACCCTGATAACTTAAATGTCCCCTTTTGTTCTTCTCTTAAGCTGCACGTGGGCACTCCCCAGCCTCATAAGTAATTAAAAGTCATTAAAAATATAAAAGAAGCAGTCTAAAGGCCAGGTTTCCCAGGCACGGGGAAGCGCAGCATGATATGCCCGGCTTGCTCTGCGGCGGAGCCTGGCTTTGTCATCAAGAGGATACCTGCTGACCAAAAGCTCCCTTGAGTGTGCAGTAACTCCCGAGGGGCATTCTCATGAATGAGAGGGACCCCACGGGAACTCTGAGATCTGGGAGGCCCGAGGGCCCCAAGGAGCTCACACAGGTCAGCCTAGGCAGTGGCTGCGATGGCGGCGGTAATGCCCGGTGGATGGGCCAGCGTCCAGCTGCGTGTCTACGTCCAGCTGCGTGTCCACGGCAACCGGACGGGTAGGGGGGCGGGTCTCCCTTGCCTCAAGGTCATCACGTTATCTGGGTCGGGGCAAAGGTATGATTTTTTTTTTCCAGTGCTGGGGAGCAAATCCCCAAAGTAAGATTTTCTTTGCTTTGGGCTTTGTTAAATAGTAATTTAAAAAAAATACCTTTGTTTTATTTATTGGTTTATTTTTATGTGGTGCTGAGGAGGGAACTCAGGGCCTGGCACAGGCTAGGCGAGTGCTCCACCGCTGAGCCACAACCCCAGCCCCTGTTAAATAGCAATTTGACCAGAGACAGAGTGCACAGCTTCCAAACCAGAAGAAGAGAGACAGCAGGGCACAGTGGCTCACACCCTGGATCCCAGCGACTCTGGAGGCTGAGGACCTCAAGTTCAAAGCCAGGCCGGGCAACTTAGCAAGACCCTGCCTCAAAACAGAAAGTGAAAAGGTTCTTTGGGCCAGAACCTCCGTCTTCCAGTAATTTGCTAAAATATAGAGCATAGGGCAGGGGAAGGGCCCACAGGTGTTCTCCAGGCTGGTGGGAGCATGGAGCTGTCCCCTTGTACCATGCATCTACAAGGTGATGTAGAATCTACAGGAATGGTGCTGTTCAGAAGCGCACGCCTGGAGAGTGGTCCCCAGTGAAAACCTGGGAGGGCGCCTGGCATTACCCAGCACACTGTCACCTGGCAAACAGGCAGTTCTGCAGGAGGACAGTGGTTCAGTGTGTGAACTGAGCAACTCAGTCTCTCTCAGAGCACAGACAGCTTCCTGAACCCTGTGAAGGAGAACAGTCAGGAAAAGGCAGCCAAAGAGAAAGGCCATTCACTGGAAGGCCAGCCACCCTGTCCAGAGAAGCCCTGTGAGGACCGCCAAGGAGCCGCCTGCTGGGAGCTGGCCCTGTGGGGCAAAGGAATAAAGGACTCTGGCCTGTAAACACGGTTTCTTGACTGAGTAGCAGTGTGGGGGCCTCTCTTCCAAAGAAAGAGTCCAAGGAAAAAGTGGGTGGCTGGGGAACGCAGCTCCGTGGGAGAGCACTCCCGGGTTCAACCCCACCCCCAAAGGAGGAAAGCTGAAATGAGAAAGAAACAAATCCATCCAGAACAGGCAGGAACAGAGGGCGAGGAAGCTGGACTGGGTGGGCTACAGGGCAGTTAGCTGAAGTGGAGGGTGACTGCTGGCCCCGCCTGCTGCCCTGTCCCTCCCTGGCGCAGTCAGGACTGTTCGGGGAGACGGTGCATAGCAGTGGTGCCGGACGCTCTCAGGCCACCCACTCCCTGCAGGCGGCTCTCTGCGCAGCAAACCCACCCCCAACGCCGCCCTGGGGGCTGCCCATGCCCTGGTGTGGGCCGGCAGCCTGGTGACCGCTGGTCAGCACCCAGGGCTCCCTCTGACTGCAGAGGCGTCGGACTCCTTGCACACCTGGGACAGACACAGAAAGCTCAGGGAATGCGCAGAGTCTCTCAAGAGAACAAGGGGCTTGGAGGGTGGTCACTGAGCAGCCGGTGTGTGAACGGCAGAGAACAACGGACACAGGCACTCGCAGAGACGACACATGTGCAGTAGCAACCAGACCAGGTGTGATGACACGCACATCACCCTCCAAGGAGCGTGCAGCGCAGTCACAAGTCCAAGGTAGTGGGAATGCATGAGGCTCAAGGAGGGGAAGGCAGATCCTTAATCATCCATTTCCCCAAGTTGGCCTATGGATTCAATGTGATTCCCACCGATCCCTCAGCAGGGCTTTCTGTGACACTTCATAAGACAGTTGTGACATGTGTCAAGAAGAGAGTACAACCAGAGGGACCCTCCCCTGCAGATATAAGATGCGGCAGCTGGGCAGCATGGCCCTGCGCTGGGACAAGGGAACCTCCAGCAACGTGGATCACGCTCCAGGCCCAGCTGTGCACCCAGGCGGGACATCAGCCCATCAGAGGAAGGTTGTCCAACAAGTGACTGAAAAGACGGTTGCCTGTGTCGATGTAGAGTTTGATCCGTACCTCACACTGTGCACACAGATCAACTTCAGGTGGGCTAAAGGTGTTCATCGAAAAACGGAACTTGAAGCTCTAGTAATTAATACAGGAGAGTAGTATTTTAAACTTTGAGATAAGGAAAGATTTCCTAAAACCAAAATAGCACTGAAAGAAAAAGATCGATAATTTGGCCACACGAAAATGAACAACTTTTGCTGATCAAAGGGCATCTTTTAAAAAACTGAGAACAAATTGCTAACTGGGAGAAGCCATCCAAAACAGCGTCTTTGAGCACAACTCACCCCCAGGAGAAAAGGCAACGGTAGGAATTGACATTTCACAGAAGGAAGTTACACAACCAACAACGCACACCAAGAAACCCAGCTGTCAATCAAGGGTGTGTGAGACATTAGCACAATCAAAACCGAAACCCGTCACCCCTCCAGTCCACTTGCTGGCAGCACCTGATGACCCACTTCTGTGGGTGCAGGAGACCTCTCTCAAGCTTCCCATTGTCTCCTTAACCGAAGCATCAGCAGATCCCATGAGCTAGCAATTCCATCCTGGAAATACACTCACAAGACACTTGATCATGGCCATGGGGCATAAAAATGTTCACAAAAGCGCTGCCCCCCAAAGCAAAGCCTGCTACAGCCTAAACGCAGCCACGGGCGAGCAGGTCCAAGAGCTGCAGAATCCCCACAGGGACTGCAGCCACAGGGGCCAGTCTCAGCGATATGACGTCTGCGGGAATGTCCCGTTCCCCACCATGGGGCCCTACAATACCTCCTTAACAAGTAAGAATTGCTGAAGTCCAAAGTCTTGTTAAAATGAAAGACCCACGGATTCCCTGTCCAAGAAAGACGCAAGAGGCACTGGCTGCAAACGCAAGAGGTGATTTATTGCTACACAGGCGCCTGCGGGTGCTCAGCGAAACCTCAGCCGGAGCTTCGGTGAACTGGCACACCGGGCTTTGGGGTACAGATCTTTTATAGGGTACAGTGGTCAGTTTCCCTCCTAGCACAGTAACAGGTATCTCATTGGCTCTTTTGAATCCAGCATATAGGTCACTTAAAGGGTAAACTTGTTTTTCACTATAGGTTCCTGGAAAAACCACATAAAAACCATTTGTTATTCATTGTATGGTTTTTCATTGTATGATCCCGTTTGCCCAACCGTGCCGGCTCCTTTCCCAACCATCCTGTCCTTTCTTAATCGGTTACACTTAACTGATTTTCTGAAAAATACATCTGACGTCTGTGCAGGTGCGGAAGCAAGCCCTGGTGATTTGTTACTGGGCCTAAAGTTATTGGGCTGGGGTCTCTCAAAAAGAGAGCACATAGGCTCAATAACGAGAATCAGAAAGGGACGCACAGGCAAGACTGGTGGGCGTAGGAATGGCGGCTCAGTGCTGGGAGTCCCGCTCCACTGCCAGGCGGCGCTCACACCAAGGGTGCCCGGAAAAGCAAAGCAGGAGGGCGTGATGGGCCGAGGTCGCTGCGGCAGCAGCTCATTACTTTATCACAGTGACTGAGATGAAAAACAGCCCAGCAAGAACAGAGTGTTTCATGAACTGAGAACTGCCATCAGCCACAGCATGTGCCCCTGAGGCCCCCGGAGTGAGAGAGGAATGAATGGACGAATCAGATAGAGTCCTGGCCAGGTGATTAAGTAAGGAAAAGAGGTACGACGATGATAAGGGTAAAGACAATTCATGAGACGATATAATCGCCTATGTGAAAAATCCAAGGGAATATTAATCCGTAAAACTGACAAAAATGTCCAGTGAGATGACTGGATTTAAAAAATCAACTCCATTTCTATAAACCAGCTGTATTTGTAGATATAATAAAATTTTGACAAGAGGGAACATTTACAATAGAGGAAAAAGAAAAATAAATCTACCCAAAAGAGAGCAAGAGCATTACAAAGAGAACTACAGGGGTTTATTGAAAACTCTGAGGGATCAACAAATGGAGAGCCACCCAGTGTTCACAGTCTGGAAGACTCGGCCGCCAAGGACTCGGCCCTTCCCAAATTAATACGTGAGTCTGATTTAACCCCAGTGAGAGCCTCAGCCGTCTCACTGCTGGTGCTCCTCTGTGCACTCTGTCTAGAGCGCAAGGAGCTCAGGGCCTGTCCAGGGAGGAGGAGTGTGGGAGGCCAACCTTACGGATGACTGAGTTACACTCCCCAGCTGGGTGCTGAGGCGCTCAGTCACAGAAATGGGTGTGTCTTGCTACAGCCCCATGGGTGAAGCTATGCTCACCTGTTCCTTTGTAATCTAACCCCTTGCCCTGTTTAGGATAGAATCTTCCATGGAAGTGCCTGTGTGTGTCCCCTTCTCTTACTGTACCCTTGGGTGTGGCCTACCCAGGTGTCAGTCAACCTGCTGACAGTGGACATCATGAAGATAGACTCAGCCCCCTGAAACCTGACCCCTTGCCTCATTTGAATAGCTTCTCCTCAATAAAAGGGGTCAGCGCGTGCTCTCGCTCTCTCTCTCTCTTTCTGCGGACCCTTAAGATCAGAGGAGCTGTCACAGCAACCCCAAAGAAAAAGGTATTTGTGTCTCTTGTGCGGTTATTTCGTGCAGCCCAGTTAGCCCAGTTTAACTGGAGTGACCCCTGAGCCTTTTGTCGCGAGAACAGAAACCCGGCAGAGGAGGCTGGGACCTGCCTGGGGGATGCAGGCCCAGGGCAGAGCAGACCCACGCAGCAGGCCAACTGGGCGCACACCAGTCACGGAGGGATGTGTGCCCAAGAGCGGGGAGGGGCTTTCCCACAGGGGCCTGTCGGCACCCACAAAAGTCACCTAGACCCTGACCTGTAGGACACTACAAGCCAGTTCCAGGAGACCTAGGGATAAAAGGCAGCAGCAATCTGCTGAAAGACTCCTCTGGAAGTCACCTCCGTGACCCTGGAGCAAGGACTCCAGTCAATGTGCCAAGAAATCACCTGACTTAGGAAGTTGATGCTTGCATCAAAGGACACCCCGAAGGAGTGCAAAGACAGCACACGGGTGGAAGAAGGTCTCTGCAATCAAAGTCAGCTGAGAGGAAACTGCGCATGAAGAGAAAGAGCAGCACTCATGGAGCAGTGGACGGGCACGTTCCAGGGCAGGAAACCTACGTGGTCACCAAGTGTCTGAAAGAGCGATTTGCATTCCATTTGTGAGTAGGAAGACACAGAGTCCCACTGTACACCACAGAGAGGCCCGTGCTGAGGTGTCGGGAGCAGTGGCCGCTGCAGTGGTGGTCAGAGTGCAGACCAGCCCGCTCCCTGGGCTGCTTGCAGCACCCAGGGAATGGGTTGGCAGTGTCCCCCAAGTTCACGTCCATCTGGAAAACCTGTGGAGGTGACCTTATTTAGGAACAGAATCTTTGCCAATGTAATCAGTGAATGACGTCATGCTGGAGCAGGTAGGCCCAACTGCTGTCCTTGTGAGGGATTCTGAACGTACAGGCACAGGGGCAGTGTGCATGGGGACAGACCTAAGGGGGTGATGCAGCCAGCAGCCCTGGGAGCTGGAGGAGGCAGGAGGGAGCCTCCCTGGAGCCCCCACTGTCCTGCCGACACTCTGGCTTCCAGAGCAGAGAGTGTCTGTTGTTCTCAGGCTGTGGTACGTTAGGCAGTTCACACACCCAGCTAAGGTACAGCTGTCTGTCAACTGACCTTTCCCCCAGGCCCGTGGAGGCCCCTTAGTCTTCCGGGAGACACCTTCTTAATAATGTAAGCCTGGAAGTCACCCACACTGGGATGCCAGGCACCAGGCAGTAGGACAGACAGGCCTTGGTGACAGGTAGGACAAAGGGCTGGCAGTATCCTCCAGGGGCACTGCCGGCCCTGCAGAGGTATGGTGCTGCTCCTGCCTGGAGCCCCCACGGGCAATCCGTGCATCCGCATGTCCAGCAGACCTGCTGGGAGCCGGGCATATCCCAGGCACTGGGGATACAGAGGAGGAGACAGAGCAGCAGCCCTGCCCAGAGCTTCCCATCTAGGGGAGACTGGCATGGCCAGGAGGGCTGCTGGGAGGGACCAGGTAAAGTCAGACAGACAGACTGACCATGGAGGGGACAGCCAGTGGGAGGGGAGTGCACCAGCCAGAACAGGTGGGGGCTGGCTGGCCCTGGGTCTCATGGCTACACTCGGGGCAGCACTAGCGTGCAGATACAGTCCAGCCACACTGCCCATCTCAGGCACGACTTGGCTCTATCAGAACCTTCAAGGAACCCAGGCCAGAGCCTGGTGGTTCCGCCGCTTTGGGAAGCTGTGGGTCCAGTGACATTTCCCCTGCCTGGCTCTGTTCAAACACTCTGGCACAAACCCATCTGCACTACATCCAGAGAGACAGGGCACCGCCCACCGAGGCCCAGGGCGGGGGACACTGGAATTGCTGCTCCCAGCACTGTCTCCACCAGAGACCCCATGCTGGGTGCCAGTTGCCCCCAATCCCGCTCCCAAGCTCATGCTGATGCCCCAGTCCCATCCCTTCAAGACACAGCCGCTGCAATCACCAAACAAGCACAGGTGACCGGGGACACAGTCCTGAGCGCGCATCTCACCTGCGGCTGCGGGTGGCCTTGGGGACAGCGAGGTCTGCACCGACTTGGCGCTCTGCGGCGCGGGCGCCAGGGGGCGCACGCTCAGCGAGCTCGCATCCACGAGTTCGGCGGGCTGCGCTTTGGAGAAGGTGCTCTTGGGGGCCTTACTGTCCGCGCGCGGGCAGGCGCAGGCGGGCAGCGCGAGCTTCCCGCCCGCCTCGGCGTGCGCCGGCCTCGCTCTGCAGCTTCGCTCTGCAGCTTCGCTCTGCCGGCCGCTGCGGGGGCGCGGGCAGCGGGGAGCAGAGCGCCTTCGCGTCTTCCCGCTTCCAGTCCTGCCCAGCCCCGCGCGGAGCGCCGCCCGCCAGGCCCGGCACGGCCGAGGGGCACCGCACTTTGAGTAGCTGAGCGTCGCAGAGGGAAGCCGGGAAATTGAAGTTGGTAATGGGCGGCATTTGCCTCTTGGCCTTCTTCATGCCGATGCCCTCCACGCAGAGGTCGGATCCGTTGAAGGGCGGCAGCTCCACCACGGGCTGGGGAGAGGATGCGGGAGCGAGGGTGGGCCTGCACACCTGACTCTGGGGTGATGTGGACCCCAGGAGGCTCTTGGGACCTGCAGGCCAGGGGTGGTCCTCTGACCCCACACCCAGGGACCAGAGATGCCCTTCTCTCCCAGTTCTGCCTCCGTGATGAGGCCTCAGCCAGGCACCTGGTCCCTCCTTCAGAGTGAGTCTAGGGCACAGGGCCTGACCCATGGTGCAGAAGCCCCGAGGTAAAGGCCCCAGGTAGCCCTGCTGTCCAGCCTGCTGGAGAGTTCTCTAGGGGAGGAGGCCCAGCAGGCCCTGGAAAATACAGCCTGGAGTCTGGGGGAGCCCAGGGAGTTCTAGCCAGGACCCAGCCGTGGCCACAGAGTCAGGATGGGGGCTGAGAACCAGGGGGAGCAAAGTTAGACTTCAGAGGTCCTGGGACATGGTGGCCAGGGCTGCCCAGACCTCCCGGGGTCTGGAGTGAGCTCTTTGCTCCGTGCAGAGAAGACTGAAGTCAGGGGGAGCAGGGCAGGCCCAGCGCGTAGAGCACACCAGGACCAGGCTCACCAGACCTGGGCTCTGGACCTGTGTTCTCCATGATCCAGCAGGGCTGGTGGCCTGTGGCTCTGTGCAGCTGCTTCCAGTAACAGGAAGTGGAGGTGGCTGCAGCTTGGGACCCAAACCCATCCCATGGACAGGTGCTTGCAGCCAAAGGGGCAGCTGCTCTCTTACCTGTCTCCATAGAAGCTCAAAGTTGCCGATGTCACAGTTGCGGTCGACCTTGCGGTCCACCACCACCTTGATGGTGTCCTCCTGTACCTGGGCACAGAGCTGGGCCGTGACGGGTGTGGATGGGTGCATGGTGGGACTGGAATTGATCTCGATCAGCCAGGGCTTGAAGTCCCGCCCGAGGATGAAGTCCGCGCCGTAGAGTTCGAAGCTGTTCTTGCGGGCCTCCACGTGGTCCTGGGCCACCTTCATGGCGTTGGTGATGGCCCTCTTCATGGAGGGGTAGATGACGCTGCCCCACATGGCCCCACGGCCCCGCTTCTGCAGGTACTCCTGGAACCTGGAGCTGGACCACATGTTGTGGCCAGGCAGCAGTGGGCTGCGCCCCTGGTCATTCCGGAGCCGCTTCTGGATGGAGTGGTTGCACAGGTGGATGGCACTGCAGGGCAAGGTGCTGTGAGGCCTGATGCCATCCTCCATCGCCTGCCCAGGTGGCCCAGGCCTTGCTGTGCCCGGGACCCCACACCTGGCCCAGGTGGTGGCAGGAGGGGCCCATGCTAGTGGACTGGGTTCTTCAGGCTCTGCCACCTGGGGCCACCGGGATCGTAAGGAGGCAATGCAGAAGCCCAAGGAACTGTCACAACCTCCCCAAGGCTGTTTCCCTATCTGCATGTTGGAAGGGACACTGGCCCTTGAAGGGCTGATTTGGCGAGACAGATCCTGTGACATCTTAGTTATACTCTTATCTTGCTCTGAATGGATTCAAAATAAACACCACCTTTTGGGAGACTATAAAGTGCGACTTTGGGGACCGAGGACATTTTTGTTTGAACTGTAGCTATGTCGGGCCAGCACCCTGGGCTGGGAATTCCAACCTGTTCTGGGGGCGGGATCTGCTCTCACAGCCACACGTGAGCACTACCATGTGAAGTAGAGGGAAAGGAAAGAGGTCGGAGCTTCTGGAAGTTAGAGAGCCGTGGGGCCAGGCCCTGGGCCTACGGGCCCTGCCTGCCACTCGGGTCTGTGCACAGGCGGCCACAGCCACGCAGGCAGACTCTGGAGTCCTCTGTCAGTCCAGACGGAGAAGCAGGCTCAGCAGGGTGTGGGAGCTGCCAGGCAGGCGCTCATGGCTTGGTGAGGCATCGTGGGGCAGGCGTGGGGCTGGCAAGGGCTCCCTGGGGTTCTTTGCACAGAGAGTTCCCAGATCCCGTCCCTCTGGACCCCCTTGTTCTGGACAATTAGCCTGCAGCCCTACCCCAGGTGTGACCTAACAGGTGGGACTTGGGTGTGGCTGCCCACCCCCCCGTCGGGGTAGAGTTCACCCCAGCAAGGTCTCTGTTGGGCCACTCACAAAACTGCAAGAGGAAGCCCTGGTTCGGGCAGAGGCTGGGGGATGCTCGTGTGGATGGCACGTCCCTTAGGAGTCACAGGCCCTCACTGTCCTGTCCGTGCTGGTACCTGGTGAGGTGGGGTTCACCACCGCGGGTGCCCTGTTCCCGGATGTCTGAGCCTCTGCCTGGTGCCCCAGTGCTTTGGTGGTGGAAGGCGACCGTGAGTGTGTGGAGAGGTCGGCAGCTGGGGCACCTGCCCACACACACCCCAGTGCTTGGCACTGTGGGCATGACAGCCCTCCACTGACCTGTCAAGATTGTCCAGGGAGAAGCGCTGTGTGGAAAACCGCAGATAGCTCTCCTTGTAGAACCAGATGGTCAGGGGGTTCCAGTCTGTGACGAGGAACCACTGCCTGATGTCGAACTTGGTGTCATAGATGAGCATGGGCGTCTCGATGTACTTCTGCACCACCCACTTGTTGTCCTTGCTGGGCAGTTCCTCAGCCGCCAGCTCCAGGATGTCCTCCACCCGGTCCATGCACACTATGTCTGCAAGAGGCCACAGCTCAGGCCTGCGGCACGGCCTCTATGGTCCCAGCTCAGCTCCAGAGCCCACCTTGCCTTGGGTCCAGGACCAGGAGACAGCACGGCCAGCTGGGCAGGGCAGCTTCACCCTCAGTGGAGGAAGCCATAGTTAGTGCCCAGCTCGCCCACTGCAGGGCCACCGTCCACACTCCAGAGAGGGGGATGCAGAGATCCAGGAGGGACATGGCAGGGGCAGTGGGACCTTCGAGGGCTGGACGGTCAGGACACTAATGGTGCCCTGATGGACGTGGTACGCGTGGAAGGTGGAGTCCCTGAGTTCTCTCTCGGTTCCCCATCACCCCCTTAGGCCAGGTGACTTGCAGTGGCTGGGACACGTGGGCAGGAGGGCAGGCCTCACTGTGTGCGTCCCTGCCTTTCTCTGCCGTGACAACTCTGAAGCCTGAGGGAATGGGGTCCCCAGGTAGGGGACTTGATGGGCAGAGCGCCTGGTGGTCTGCCCAGGCCAGCCACGATGACCACAAGCCTGAGTGACAACGTTTTGCTGAGGGCCACTGAGATTTGGGGCTGCCATTTCCTGACACCAGGGGTCTATCCTGGGTCTATCCTGACTGACACAGGGTGGAGGGACGCTCTGTCCACAGAACTCCAGAGGCATGAGGGAGAGCTCCTCACAGGGCACGAGACTGGTCCCTTCAGTTCCAGGGAGTGGAGATCCTGCCTGACACAAGAGCTCAGGACATGGCAACCAACTCCTGAAGTCACTGAGCCCCAGACACCTGGGCAGGAGCAGGGAGCGCACAGCCAGGGACCAACAGAGAGGAGTGCTGTGCTCTGGCTTTAGACAGGGGTCAAGGTGCCCATGCAGTGGGAGGAAGGTCTGGCTGGCTGGACGGGCAGAGTACAGGGCAGGGGTGGGCAGAAGAGCAGAAAGAAGTCTGCAGGACACGGGGTGTGGACCACACCTGCCAGGCAAGAGGAGGCTCAGGGAGAGGGTCAGGACTGAATGCAACAAAACCACACATTAATGCATGTTTTAAGATCACAAAAATCAACAAACTATTCAAAATAATTCAGGATGCAAATAGAATATCCAAACTAAAAATAAAGCTGACTCGGACACCCACGAAGAAGAGGACATTCTGAATCACAAACAAGAGGGTACCGCGAAGGCTGTCCACAGAGGGAATCTCACAGCACTGGGGACAAGTGAGTTCAGCACTCATGTCAGAGATAAGGGGGACGTGCCTAACAGGAAAACTGGAAAATGCCACCAAAAGTTGATTGAAAACACGGGTAAAACGAGAAAACCACCTTGAGTTCTACCGAAACATACAAAAACACTCACTCCATTAGGAAAAAAATCAGAATATAATAATGGCTGTAATTTGAGAAAATGAAGTAAAAAACCTGAATAGGCAGTAACCACAACCACAGACAAAATCTAAGCAGTGTTAGGGCTCTGCTCTAAGAGAGAAGCTGGTTTTTATTTTAGTTAATTAATGTGTCTAGTTTTTAGCACTGGGGATTGAACTCAGGGGTGCTTTACCACTGAGCTACACTGGCAGTCATTTTTATTTTTTATTTTGAGACAGGGTCTCACTAAATTACTGACGGCCTCACTAAATTGTGAGGATGGCCTTGAACTTGTGATCTTCCTGCCTCAGCCTCCTGAGTTGCTGGGATCGTAGGTGTGGCCACCACACTCAGCAAGAGTCTGGGTTTTAGGGATGAGTTTGCTAGTGAATTAAGGTGTAGGAATCGCTCTCCCTGAGATGCACGTCCACCCTCTGTTTTAAAGGCTGGTGTAAGCCTGTCACTAAGCTCAACCAAGGTAATAGAGAAGGACGACCACAAACCAGTCTAACCTGGGAATGCAGAGAGGAGACACTGGTTAACTGGCAGACCTGAACATAGCACTGAGGCGGAATTGTGCGTCCTCCTCCTCCACCAGGCACCTGTGAGTCCTGAGCCCCCAGTGACCGCCACCCCAGCTCCCCACCTCCCCACAGGGCCACAAGCTGGAGACCACGGCTCGCTCCCGACACCCCTTGGGTGGATGTCAACAAGGGTGGCTCGTGCCCATGGAGCACCCATTCCCGGGGAACTCACCTCGGCCCCGGGACTTGGCTGCAGGTTTGATGATCCAGATGTTCCGGAGCCCGTCGATCTCTGTCTGGGGGTTCACAGAAGTGATCTTATTCAGCAGAGCCTGGCACTGCGAAAAGTAACTCCTTGAACTGGAGATGAAAGCATCGCCGCTACAAAGCAAGATGCGGAAAGTGTGTGAGGCTGCAGAGCTGGCCACGCCCAGTGTGCGTGGGTCTAGGACCGGCTGGGGCAGGCCAGGGTGTCCTGCCAACCAGAGCACAGCCAGGGACCCAGGCCTGCCAGAGTGCTCCTGGACAGGGAGGTCAAGAAGTGGGGACCCACCTTGTGGATCTGGCTGCATGTGTACCCAGGATGCCAGGCCTGGGGCCACATGGGAACCACTGGAGGTGGCCGGTCCCTATGCAGAGGGTCCATCTGCATGCACCGCGTCCGATGGTCCCCCGTAAGAAATGGACATGCCGTGCAGACCTTCCAGTCCACACCAGTGGCCAGTGACCACCCTGTGAGTCCACTGCTGCCCAGACCCCAAGATATTGTTGGTGGTTTTGCAGAGCCAGGCAGCAGTGGCCTGACCCAGGAGGCCCCAGGATCTTGTGGCACTAAGGCCAGTGGAGCTGCCGAGCATCTCAGGGTCTGCGGAACCCTCTGCACCTGGAGAAGCTCCCATGCAGCACCTCAGCAGCCCATGGCATGGGACCCTCTGCGGGTGGCAGCCCGGCAGCTCAGGAGGAAGTAAGTACCAGGCCACGCTTCCTGCACAGGGCCCAGCACACTGGCCATGACCCAGGCTGAGGGGCATCTGGGTTCTGTTGCCCTGCTGGGAGGGAGGGCAGCATCCAGGAGAAAGTGAAGCGTGGGGGACCCTGGCCATGTGGGCGGCCATCCTTGTGGAGCTGCAGTTGGGGGGGCCAAGAGAACATGAGCCCCCAGCAGTGACTGCCCTGCTGCGGGCAGGGAGCAGGGGACAGAGTGAGGGCTCTGCCTTGCTGGCTGAGTAGCAGTCAGGGCCCCACGCCCCTGAGAGCCCTCCTGGGTGGTAGAGCAGGAGGGCGTCGAGGCTCAGCCCCTGCCCCAGAAAGCTGTGGCCTGAGCTGGCCCCAGACCTGCAGTGAGGTGGCTCCTGGCCACAGGCTGCTCCCATGGCTGTGGCTTGGGGAGGTTAAGCAGTGGCCGCCCCAGGGGAAGGAGTCTCTCAGCCTCTCCCAGGACACGGCGCCCAAGTCTGGAAGGAGCCCTCCTCCAGGAGCTGCCCTGCCTGGGTCTGCGGTGGAGGGGAGCTGGGAGGCCACAACTCTGAGAGCCAGTGTGCGTGAGCCAGAGCCCAGCCGGGCTTCAGGAAGGACCCGCAGGCCAGGCTCTGGGCCCTGCCGCTCAGGAGAACAGATGGAGTCACTCCCACCCCGACCTGAGAAAGGGTGGTGCAGCCGGCCAGGCTCACTGGGTCCTGGTGCGTGGGGACCCCACGAGCCTTGGCCAGTAAGGACACGTGCACCTGAGGCTCCCTGCCGGCCCCTCCAGAGCAGCCCAGACCAGACTCCACTGCCCCCCTCCTGACCAGACGCAGGGGGCCTCCGTGACCCCTGGGACCTTCCTTTTTATTGAGGTCTAAGAAAATGTGGTCAAGTGCATAACGCCCTACCCAAAAAAGGGGAGTGCTCAACACCAACTGCCACGAGGGACGAGGACAAACGCTGCTCCTCAGCAGGTTCCCTAGGACTCCGCCCCTGGACAGCAGCCACTTGCGTTCTGACTTTCTACCGCCTGCACCGGCTTTGCCTTGAACTTACACCTGGAACCACACACGCACCCTGATGGCCTCTCAGGACAGGCTGCGAGGCTCGCCTGGCCGCTGCGCCTCGGGCAGCAGAGCCAGTGCCAGGTCTGGGCTCTCGGAACAAGGCCTTTCTGAGCACACGCATCCGCCCTCGTGGGTGAAGACCTCGGGATGACTAGTTGGACACGGGGTGTGCAGATGCCTGGATTTGTGGGAATCGTGGGAGTTGCAGGGGCCCACACGTGTGGGGTGAGTGGCCTCTGGAGCCAGGAAGCCGCTCTCCCCTCGCGAGCTCCTGTCTGGGGGCATCTGAAAGCCTTCTCTTGTGGACTCCTGAACGTTTCCATCAGACGCCTCTTCCTGACCCACAGCCGTCCTCAGAGTGACTAGGGGAGGCCTCACCGGACCCGCGGGCTGTCATGGTCTCCAGGACACTGCATGGCTCGCCTTTCCATTCAGTCCATAGTGCGCTCCAGTCGGCTGGTCACCACTGCGACCAAGAGACCCGACAAGAACAAGAGGAGGGAAAGCTTATGTGGGGGCTCACGGTTTAGAGGTTCAGTCCTTGGGCAGCTGACGCCATAGCTCTGGGCCCAGATGAGGCAGCACCTCATGGGCATGGAGGAGGAGAGCAGCTCAGGGCACGGCACCAGGAAGCAGAGAGCTCTGCTCACCAGGAACAAAATGTAAACCCCACGGGCCACCCCCGTGACCCAGCTCCTCCGCCACCCCCACTGCCAGCAGTCACCACCAGCTAACCCCTGCCGGTGGGTGAACCCACTAACCAGGTTACGGCTCTCATAACCCAGTCACTTCACCTCTGAACCTTCTTGCCTTGCCTCATGAGCTCCGGGGACGCCTCGTAGTGAACCTCAACGCAGCGCTTTCTGAGAAACGAACGGCTCATAACGCCCCCAGCACGCACAGCATTGGTCTTCTCATCCTGGTGGACTGTGGAAATCTTCCCTTGGGTGCTGGAGGTCGCCCCAGTGTTGGTTTCTTAACTCTCTCACATCCTGTCTCAAGTTCCTCTTTGTGTGTCTGTGAAGCAGGATTCCACGTGCTGCCCGTGGCCCCAGTGCTGTCCACTGAGGGGCCTGGCCTCAGGTTACATGGACAATTGAATGAGGACCCGTTACTGGGGTCTCCGTCCTGCTGCGCTGGATGGATCTTCTATTCTATCCCAATATACCTTATTATTACAGACTTAGTCTTGAAATAAAATCCTCTAATTTTGTTTTTCTTGATGGAGCCTCTCTTGTCTTAAATTATTATTATATTGCTGTATAAATTTTAGAGTCACTTTAATTTCTCTTGCCTCCAAAGAAATCCCTGCCTAGATTTCAGTTGGGATTCTGTTGACCTTTGGGTTGGTCTGGAGGAACAAACCACACCAGTAAGTGTCCTGATTTGTGAGCACATTTTTACTCGCTCATACACATATATTAGGCACCTGACACCTCTGAGCTTATTACTTTCAGTTTAGGGACTTGAATGAGTTTTGCTAGATTTATTTCTAGATCTCTGTTGTTGCTTTTTATTGTATACTGTGATTTTAAATGTTAGTCTTACCCTCTCTGCTAGCACATGGAAATAGAATGACTTTGTATTAATCTTGAGTCCAGAGACCTTGTTAAATTCACTTAATTCTAATATTTTTAAATTTCTTAAAATTTTCTATGTGCACCATCACACCATCTACAAATAACGCGCTTCTCCACCTGTGCTCTTTGTCTTTCCCCTCGTCTCCCAACTGCTGGACGCGCCAGCCTGCTGATCAGAGGACGGCTGTGAGCATCTGCGGACCATTCTGATTTCAGGACCACACTTCAGTGTATCCCACCGAGAAGCATCAGCTGTGGGATTGTTACAAACCACCCATCCACAAGCTTTTCTCTTCCTGGTTTGCTGGAAACCTGAACATGGACAGGGATAAAATTGTATCATTTTTGTGTATGTTGAAATCATCACTTAATCTCTTCTGCAAAGGTGACAGAATTTGCTGGTCACTTTGTTTCCTTTTTTGGTATGGGGGTGAACCCAGGGGTGCTCTACCACTGAGCCACATTCCCAGCCCTTGTCATTTCACTTTGTTCTGACTCAGGGCTCACCAGTCTCCAAGGCTGGCCTTGCACTGTGTTCTTCTGCCCCAGCCTCCTGGCCACTGGGATCACACCTGGCTGCCATGGGTCACTTTTAAATGGGTTTCTGGGTTTCCAAATGTGCAGCTTTCACACCTGTCTTCTGAGGTTGCTGTCTGGCTTAGCCCTTTCTCCAGAGCCCATGCCTCCATGGCGTTCACGTTGGCCATGGTCCCTGCACCTGCCTGGTGGGCGCTTTGACCGTCAGGCTTCACTTTTGGCTCTGAAGGCGCCTGATGGTGACGTGCGCATCTGACCAGATGCAGCCACACCAGCCTCCCTTGCTGCTGCTTCCCCACTTCTGAGTGTCCCGCAGTCACATGTAAAAGGGGTCTCCATGAACCTAGTTGAGTCTTTGGGGTTTTTTTAAAGCATTACTCTGGAAGTCTTTGTCTTCAGGGTACTTGCTGCATTTAGTGGAACGGGGTGATTTTGTTTCTTCATTTCTAATCTGAATTATGCCTGTGTTATGTACAACACGCATATGTTTGTAGGCTACATAAAGACGAGCAAACACGTTACTTACACACAGCATTGCATTTTAACACGGACTCAACTATGTGAATATATTCAAAGGGCTCCGTGATTCTTATGTGCTTAGAAACTGGTAAGATGTTAAAAATCAAGAACCTATGTTCAAATTATAACTCAATAAGTATATTTTTAAACTTAGGCTGAAATAGAAGAAGTGGACATATGATCACCAAGGTGTATGTGGACTCCCGGAGAGCTGGCCAGACCATTCCCTTGGAAAGTCTGTGTCTATAGTGCCTCTGTGCAATTCTGACGCGGGTCCTGGGCTTGTGACAGGGCCCTGGGACCACCGATGACAAGGCACCTCACCACCCACGCGGTGGTGTGTCTGGGGTCCTGAGCCAAAAGCACAAGTTAGCTGGAGGTGGCGGGCCAGCACACAGAGGCAGAATGGGGGCCCAGAAGCAGCGAGGCTCTCTGCAGTGACTTCCAAAGTGTTCTCCCAAAGAGAAATGCAGGTAGACTGGACTCCAAGAGCGGAGCATTTTCCGGCCACCCCCCCATACCAGGATTCTGAGCGCACCCCACAAACCACCCGAAGAATGGGCAGGAGACGCGCCCGGGCTCTGAAGAGCCTGTGAGGAGAAGCAGCAGAGACCGACCTCCTTGGTAGGAGCATGGGGAACAGGCCCACTGAGGACGGAACATTCTGAAGGGCCAGCAGGGCGGGGTCTTCCTGTGATGGCGCGAGCTGTGACTA